ACAGCTCTCCTCCTTCCATGCTGTGAACAAAGGATGCACACAGAGAAGACTCAACATGCAAGCACAAAAGGATGCCCCATTTCATTAGCTTAGTTTTATGGGTACCATTGTTTCTCTACTGCACATCTAATCTACTATGTGTTTCTAATATTTATTTCATTGGTTTTAAATGGTGACTAGTAAACAGTAACAATGACCTAATAGCAGAGGCAAAAGTCTTAATTGTTTTACCACCAGTTGTTCAAATGTGTGAAAACTTGATATGAAGAACTATCTTGCTTGGAATTTTGGCTATGCATTTGCTGAAGAATTAGTTGTTAATGGGTCCAATTTTCCCCGCTCACTCATATTTAGAGCCTGGGATGGTTCTGGAAAGCAAGGTGGCAATCAAGAAGGCACCAATCTTCCCTTGCCTACCCTTCAGATGTAGATCTAGAAATATCCATGGAGATTTATTTAACGTACTCCATGGAAGAGTACTGTCTTTGCGGCATGCTGTGAGTTGACAGCTGGTGCAGAAAACAGCAGCTCACATTACAAGAGACTTATTCAGAAGATAAAATCATGAAAATGGGATGATGGGGCAACCCCAGATTCTCAACTGAAATGTCAGAATGGAGCTGACTGTGTGATCAGCAATCCTGGAAAAACTAGGCTGCTGACTGCTGCCAGAAAATCTGGGCTGCTGTTGAGGTAGAGTCCTAAACAGGTAAAGCAGTTTGTGCATAAGCAAGCAGACATTTGAACAGATGGGTGTAAGTTCTCCCCTTCCACACACAAATTCAGTCACCACAGTTGTGATGTCTGAATAAGTTTTACAGCTGGGAGGCCAAAAATACATTTTACTGGAGTTTCTGTGCAGTTTCCTCTACTGGGCTCAAGTTAAAGTGCTTGTGGTCTATAAAAATCTCGATAACGGTTGCCAGGCTCAGCCTAGCAACTGACAAGAGGGTTGGGGATGAGGATATGTATGCGTGGAGGGTGCGACATTGTGACATCACTTCCAGGGAAACCCAGAAATTATGTACAGTAGGTCTAGGAATAGCAGGAAAGTCTACAGCTCCCCTACATCACTTGCAGGTTTTTCCAAGAAGTGACAGACTGATGTTGCCTTTTAAAAAATTTATTCATTTATTTTGAGCGGTGAAGGGCAAGGAGGATGGCCAGCAGGAAACTCCAGCTATAGTGTGGGAGGCCTGGGGCAACCCCAGTCTCAGTGGAGGGTTTGGGTCCACCATGGCTCAGATATTGCTGTTTCCCTATAGCCTTTCACAAGTATTACAAATGATCAGAAGTGCTTGCCTAACACCCACTGATCATCATGCAAAGGCACACAGAGGTGACTGATTTTGTAAAAAAAATAATCTGCCTTTCCCTAATAAGTCAATACAGAGTTATTTTATATTTCATATTTTTCTAAAAAAACATGGCTGATCAGACTGTAACACTGCAGACATTTAGGCTATTTGAATCCCATTGAAGTCAATGAGCTTTAAGCTGCCTGACGGTGTGCAGGTTTACAGCCCAAATGAATAACCTGTTTGTGACTAGATGCCTGCAGCACAATGAGTTTTAAAGCCTGTGATTTAAAACACAGGCAGGCTCTTCGGAGAAAGCAGAATCATGCTATTAGTTGACCCTACTAGAAATAAACACAACAGACAGTGCTGCAGAAAGGCTAAGAGCAATCTCTGTAGCTCTGATACCATCTACATTCTGGAAGAGCTAAGGAATGGTGAGGAAAACAGCAGAAATGGCAAAAAGAATATAAGTGGCTGGTGATGCAAAAATTTAAACATGGCTCTATAAAGCCTCTGAATCATATGCCACAAAGGGATAAAAGTGCTCGGGGGCGGGGGGGAATGTGATCCTAATAAACATGTTCAGGGTTGGCATGCAAATTGGTAGCCTTAAAAACAAGGGTGAAGTATTGAGTAGTTTGATTTGCTTATATCATTGCTGATTTCAATGTGTCGGATATTTACCTCCACACCAGTCCTTTTGAGAGTGTGGATGACTGGTAGCAGCTATACATTTTACTGTGAATACGCTACAGTGGGGGTGTCTATCAAACCACAAATGACTCCACCTTCTCTACTTTTCTCACAGCACACCAGCATGGCAGGCAAATTGTGCCGCCTACATTCATTTACTCACCATGTAAGATCATCTCTGTACAGGAACATCTACAAAATTCTCCCAAAGGACCTGTCTCTGCAACATGTAAACAATACCAACAACAGGTAGAAAAGCAGAAGGTCCTCTAAAAATTCCCCCCCCAACAAGTAGACTCCTTGTGTGTCTTACAACTGTTAGTCAGGAAGGGTGTATGTTTATCATTCTCATAGGATGACTGCAGAATGTTTCTTTAGCAAGCTAATATTTGAGCTAAGATGCAATTGCTCACTAAGTCTTGCTACAGATAATTTCTTCGGTCACAACATGAGAACAAAATACAGGTTCTGCCCTTGAGTAAAACTACCTGATCGAAATGCATAGAGCACCTACTTCTTGAATAAATCATTTAGAGTGCCTGTGGCTTTTTAAACGTCTGCACAGAAGCTTCCAACACTTCCTCTTACATGCTTAAGAGCGGAGAAAGCAGTGTTTATGCAAAATCAGTGTGGTGTGGAGTGGGACTTTACGCTAGCCACATGAACTAGACTGTCTATGTACATCATGGGCTTACTTGCATTTTCCATGTAGACGTTCATGGGGAGGGATCTGCCTAGGCTGTGTACAGGAGCAGAATTAACACACTTGAAACCTAGAACTAGAATATGCTCTGTTTTCCTGGCTGCTATTCAGCTGAAGATGTCTGTGGGATAATCTGCGTTGTTCAACTGGCCTAAGGAAAGTTCTATGCAAACTGATAGGGCCTTTGTGCCTCCAGTAGGCTCGACTCCTCCACTCCCATGACTTGCTGTTGCAGGTGTATTAGAATCAAAGTTGAAATGGGTCAGGTATTACCAGCCACAGTCAGGATCTACCCTCCAAGTCTACTGGCATGGTTGGGCTCACAAGAGGGCAAGCTTCTGGAAGAAATCAGGGAACTCTTAAGTGTAGATTATTGCGATATGATGTTGCTGTTGCTTCTCCATGCCCAGGATGGATTCGGACCAGTGAGAGAGGCAGTATCAGCAGTGCAGCAAAATCAACAATGGCTGGTTTTGCTGAGGCATCATTCAGTCTGTGGCACTAACAGCCTACAGTGTTTAGAGTACAGTGAAAGAAAAGCAAGTAAGTAGAAAAGAGCAGAAAAGAGCAAGAGTCCAGTAGCACCTTAAAGACTAACCAAATTTGTGGTAGGGTAGGAGCTTTCGTGAGTCACTGCTCACCTCTTCAGACTCCTTGATATCTGAAGATCGGGTATCTGAAGAAGTGAGCAGTGACTCACGAAAGCTCCTACCCTGCCACAAATGTTGTCAGTCCACTGGACTCTTGCTCTTTTCTGCTGCTACAGACAGACTAACACGGCTACCCATATAGAGAGAACAGTGTATATACACAGCACACACAGAGGTGCACAATGAAGGTATTTCCCCCCTGAACATTGTTTTATGACTATAGAGGACATTTCTAAAAAAAAAAAAATGAAATGTGAGATTTGTCTCAGGGATCATGAGAAACCCACCAATGTTTCCAAAAAAGGTTTGCTGTTTTACTGTGCAATGGAGCTCTTACCAAAATATGGATTGGGTAAGAAAAAAAAATTGGCCCATACCATTCCATGATGATTAGGAGACATCTCTTCCCATGGTGTATATTCTCATAAACATCCAGGATATGGACAATGTGAGGACAGCCTGAGGCCCGCCAGTGATAATCCACCTCCTGTCGTGCTTTTGGACTGTCGTACAAGAGCTGGAAGGGGATAGGGAAAAGGAATATTATCAAACTACCCCATCTTGTCTGGACTTAGTTCACTGTCCTTGGCTGGACAACTGGGTTTCCCCAGAGCAATTAGAGACACCTGACTGAGCTTGGAAATAGGCAATTGCATACAACCATACTTAACAAGTTGGGAATAACCCATAGCGATATTAGCTCTGGTTTTTGGTTACTCCTGTAAATTGCCAGAATACATAAAACACAATCTTGGTTTCCCAGCCATTGTCTGCAGCTCAAACTGGCAGCACTGGACTCTGACAGACACAATCCTAACACTTTCATCTTCCACATGGAATGGGGGGGCAGAAATGTGGGTAGGATCTAAATCAGGACCAAGGAAAACCAGAGGTTAGCTTCATCTCCTGTCTACTCTAGCAGGCATTAAATAAATTATAACAAGAGCTGCCTTTGTTCTGAACCCTCAGCTCAGCTCAGCTCAGCCCTTTTCCCAAACAAGAATAGATTCATCCCCTGAGATCTAATGATTAAAAGCATTAGCAATGAAGAATGGAAACAGAGAGCACTATTGACAGCAACAACACCTAGTTTGAATGGAGTCAAGAGGTCTGGGCTCTCCAGATAATGTATGGAAGGTTTGCTTTGCACTCTAGCCAACACTAAAACCAGCAATTGCAAAGGGCACTCCAGGGCCTTAAAGCAACTACGGATTGTTTAAATACACAATGACTGTATAAATATGCTTCCTGAATGTTAAACCAACTCCAGGCATTCCAAGGGTCACTGCCTGCATTCTTATGCTTCAGTCCCCACGCTATGCTGCAACAAGTTTATTTGGAGGCATCGTCAACTCACACACACACCATCAAAATGCATCAAGGCACAGATTAGCTTTCAGAAAATCTCCAGTCAAGAATCAGAAACGGACATTCACAGAACCGCCTCCAGAAAGGAGGGTAGAATACAAATGGATTTTCTAAACGTACCATTGTTAAACTCAAACACTTTTTTCAATTTGAGATTATACAAAGGAAAATGAATCTTGCGGACTTGCACAATAGACCTTGAGAAGGGGTGTTGGAATATACAAGGTCTATAGTGTACCTACTTGAAAAAGATAAAAAGAACAGCCTATAGGGAACAGTTGAAGGACTTCTAGTTAGCGTAGCTAGATTAGAGACTTCCCACAATTTCATATTATGTCCTTCCTGTCTCCTGATTGGTTCTTTGGAGACTTCTTGCTCCAACTGAGCCCTCCCCTTTAATTCCTGTTTCTCTCAGCAGTTAGTTAAGCCTCTCTCCCTCTCCTCTGTTCAATCAGAGTTTATTTCTTCTTTAATAAACTGAGTTATTTTCTTTAAACAGTTGGTCCTCCATCTCTCTGCATGTTTAAACTCCGCCAACAGGTCTGATATAGCAAAGTCAGCATTTTACCCTGGGAACCTTTATTTAAAACATTTAGTAGCTGTCTTTCTCACTTGTGGAACTAAGGGCAGCTTATAATACAAACAAAACATTATTCAAAACACAATAAAAACAACAGTTATCCAACCCATAGAAGTCACAGTTTAAGAACGCCAAATAAAACTGCCAATAGTATAAGCTAAATCAATCAACGTGTGTGTGTGTCTGTGTTAAGTGCCATCAAGTGACTTTTGACTTATGGCAACCCTGTGAATTAATGTCCTCCAAAAGGTCCTGTTGTTAACAGCCTTGTTCAAGTCTTGCAGACTGAGGGCTGTGGCTTTCTTTATGCAGTCAATCCATCTGATGTGTGGTCTTCCTCTTTTCCTGCTGCCTGTCTTTTCCAGTGACCTGCAGTCAGCTATAAAGTGTTACATATAAATGAGGAGAGGAAGAAACACTCTCTCAAAGATACAAATATGAAGGATATTTTCAGTTGCATTAACAGATCCGTACGTAAGACGTAAATTATAACATTTATTTCTTCCATTGATTAAAAAGAACTTATTTGGAGCAATATGCTGTCACATTGCCGGTCGGAACCCAGAGCAGCTGCACCCTCCAGGGTGGGACATCCACTGGTTGGCTTGGCAGGACCTCAGACTACACCAGGGGAGGGGGCTGACAGGCACTCAAATCCTCCTCCAAGTCTTCGGACTTCCCTTCTAGCTGGTGCAGCATCTCGGGGTTTAGTCCTTGCTCTTCCTTGCTCCCTGACCCGCCATCTGCCTCCCATTTAAGTACCTTCCCCCCTGGTGACAGCTCCAAATCCCCCAATCCTCTCCCTGCCTCCCTCATGTACTGCAAACAGATACTTCCTTGGTCCAATGAGTGTGCTGCCATTTGGACCAGCCTGGCAGCATTGGTCGCACTGACTCCCATTCCCACCTCCCTGCTGTACCCTCGGCGTGGGGTGTGTCCAACAGCTGCGTTTCCTCTGACTCTTCTCTGCTGGTGCCAGTAGGGATGCCGGTCCAGGAGTTGTCTTTCTCCTGCTTCTTGCCCCCACCTTCCCACAGCATTCCTCTCCTCTGCTGGGACCTTCTCTGTCAGGTCAGCCTCCACCGCTTTCCCCCCTCCCAAGGTCTCTGTGTCTTTGCCGTATGAGTTGATCACAAGCAGCAAGTATGGGGGTGGGGAAGCCACCTCCGGACATATGCTTACTGTGGGGCGCCACCTAGTCCAAGGACATCTGCAAGAGATGCACATCTCATATACCCCAGAATGCACAAGTCTTCAAAACTACAGAGCACACAAACACATATGTACAAAGAACCTGCAAAATAAATGCACCGCTCACCATAGGGCTCGACAGGTACATAACCCCCACCCAACAATTTCTGCAAAGAAAATAGCAGCCTGTACAATTTCTAAGTCAGAGTCCAGCAGTGCCAGACATCCTCATTTCATATGAGACAGAAATGCACACAGTTGCTACACTATGTTCAGAGGAAACACTCAAGGACTTTAACTGGAAGATAGCAGGTTTGGAAAAAAGCTTTGACAGACATCTATTTTATTTGTTTACATTATTTATATCCCATTTTTCTCACTGGAAGTCAAGTCAGAATATACATAGTAAATCAATCCAGTCCATAGAATGGGACATCCAATAAACAGTGACAATATTAAGATGATAGAAATATGGAAACCATCCAGAAATCTAAAACACAGCTGAAGCAATGCATAAGTATTAACATGACACATTAAATGATGCAAATATTACATAGTAGGATTCTACTTAAGGCAACAAACAGTACAAACTATACATAGTAGCATAAACCACAGTTCCTAACCCTTTACCCAAGTATCTTTCTGAACCATTTTATTGCACAGTACAGCCCATTATCTTTAATAATGCAGTTTTGCATAGTTTGTTGAAAGCCAGGAGAGTGGAAGCCTTCCTGACCTCATCAGGCAGGCAATTCCATAAGGTAGGGGCCACAATAGAGTGCACATTTATGGACAACTGTTGATTTTGTCCACTTGCAGGGTGGCACCTGCAGAAGTCATAAGAACATAAAACATAAGAGAAGCCAATGCTGGATCAGGTCAATGGCCCAACCAGTCCAACACTCTGTCACACAGTGGCCAAAAATACAAGGTGCCATCAAGAGGTCCAGCAGTGGGGTCAGGACACTAGAAGCCCTCCCACTGTTCACTCCCCCCCCCAAGCACCAAGAATACAGTGCATCACTTGCCCCAGGCTGAGAGTTCCTATCAATACCTTGTGGCTAATAGCCACCAACGGACCTCTGCTCCATATATTTATCTAATTCCCTCTTGAAGCCATCCATGCTTGTAGCCGCCACCACCTCCTGTGGCAGTGAATTTCATGTGTTAATCACTCTTTGGGTGAAGAAGTACTTCCTTTTATCTGTTCTAACCCGACTGCTCAGCAATTTCATTGAGTGCCCACAAGTTCTTGTACTGTGAGAAAGGGAGAAAAGTACTTCTTTCTCTACCTGCTCTATCCCATGCATAATCTTAAAAACCTCGATCATGTCACCCCTCAGCCATTGTTTCTCCAAGCTAAAGAGCCCCAAGCGTTTTAACCTTTCCTCATAGTCCTTGTTCTGATGAGTGGCGGAGCACAGGGGGACAGCTAGTCCTACAAATATGAGGGATGATGACAATACTACTGACCTATCCAGTTTGATACATACATAAGTGTACATATTTTAATATTTATCTTCTTTAATGCCATATCAAAGCTAATGCCCTGTACAACATTTAGGATTGCTCTCACAGACATCAAATGACTAAATGATGCCATGATGTTACGAACAAGTACATAATCAAGACAATCCTTGAAAGAATGGCTTTGCAGGCAAACCAGACAGATAAGGATAGCTCATAGCATAGTGAAAGGATATTCAACCACTTGTTCAAATGCATTAACAAATACGGACTCATGAGAAGGCTAATAATAGCAACCCAAATTGGCTTCAGTTTAATGTGGCATATTCTTGAAGACCAAATGTAATGGAATATATGTTAAATACAATTGTTGACTCATACCACCTTCACCCATATACATCTGAGCCCTAGTGCTTCTGAAGGCTGCCCACTTCTTTGAAGAGCAAAAGAACAAGTGATTTCCAAGATGCGCACTTTGCGTTTGCCTCTGAAACTGGTTCATGCTGAATATGTCAAGTCTACCAGCATTCTTTGCAATAATACATGGCTGCTGAAGTTATCAACCAAAAATGTTGTCTTCAAGACTATTTCTGTGTGTCTGTATGCTGTGCTGTCAAGTTGCTTCTGACTTCTGGTGACCCTGTGAATTAACGACCGCCAAAATATCCTATCGTAAACAGCCTTGCTCAGGTCTTGCAGACTGAGGGCCATGGGTTACTTGACTCAGTCAATTCATCTCATGTTGGGTCTTCCCCTTTTCCTGTTGCCGTCAAGATTTCTTAGCATTATTGTCTTTTCCAGTGACTCTTGTCTTCTCGTGATGTGACCAAAGTATGTTAGCCTCAATCTGGCCATTTCAGCTTCTAGGAAGACTTCAGGTTTGATTTGATCTAGAACTCACTTATTTGTCT